TTGCTAACACCTTCTTTTCCTCAGTGTGGTTCAGTTCTCTTTTAGCGGAGCTGCAGGTACAAAGGGAGGCACTGGGGAGATGATGGGGAGGACTCCCAGGACTCCTGTCGGTGAACCCGTGGAAGAGGCCATACCTTAGTCACATGCCCCTTCATTCTGCTCGGCTGTCGGCGAGATGCAGCTGTTCGCTTTGGTCCACTTTGCTAACACCTTCTTTTCCTCAGTGTGGTTCAGTTCTCTTTTAGCGGAGCTGCAGGTACAAAGGGAGGCACTGGGGAGATGATGGGGAGGACTCCCAGGACTCCTGTCCTACAGGGAGAAGCAGCTCATCCGCGTGTCTTTAAGACCAGGGGCCCCGCAACCCACACTTAATTAGCTACTGCCATTAGTGATGGAAGGGATGGAAGTGAGCCAGCAAGATGCTCCCTCATGGAAAGGCAGCCCTCTGGTACCACGTCACTGGGGACTAAGCGACACTGCTGTCTCCCTTCCGAGCCCCAAACTCCTTGGAACAATGCAACAGGCCCTTCTTCGCCTACATAATATTTATTCTTCTGGCTTAATTTTGTGGCTACCATGCAAATAAATGGGGTTCACTGTGACATTTTGATGCATATTTAGCATTATACTTTCTTTTTATTTTTTGACTTATTTTTATTTTATGTGTATGAGTGTTTTGCCTGCATGTGTGTAAGTGCCTAGTGCTGGTAGAGGGAAGAAGAGGTATTGGATCCCTTGGAACTGGAATTATGGATGGTTGTTAGCTGCCATGTGGGTGCCGGGAACTGAACCCAGGTCCTCTGCAAGAGCAGCCAGTGCTCTTAACTGCTCAACATCTCTCTAGCCCCCTTATACCTTCTTATTGGCTATCCTGTCTCCCTCTTTGTCTCCTGTCTTCCTCTCTGTCTCCTGTCTCCCTCTCTGTCTCCTGTCTCCCTCCCTCTCTCCTGTCTCCCTCCTTCTCTCCTGTCTCCCTCCCTCTCTCCTGTCTCCCTCCCTCTCTCCTGTCTCCCTCCCTCTCTCCTGTCTCCCTCTCTCTCTCCTGTCTCCCTCCCTCTCTCCTGTCTCCCTCCCTCTCTCCTGCCTCCCTCCCTCTCTCCTGTCTCCCTCCCTCTCTCCTGTCTCTCCTGTCTCTCCTGTCTCCCTCCTTCTCTCCTGTCTCCCCCCTCTCTCCTGTCTCCCTCCCTCTCTCCTGTCTCCCTCCCTCTCTCCTCTTGGTTCCTTTGCTTCCCTGACACAGATCCCCTTTCTGCTTTCTGTCATGTGTGTTCCCTCACCTCTGTTCCCCACACCCCTCACTGTAGGCCTCTTCCTCCCTTAAAGTCCTCTTTGCTGACTTTCATAGTATAAATTTAAATCTAGGTTCTCCAAATGAGAGAAACTATGATGTTCATCCTTCTGAGCTTGGTTTGTCTTGCTTAACATAATGATCATTTTCTTGTGAGTATCATAATTTTGTTTTCTTCATGACTGAATAAAATTCCATTGTGTATATGTACTATATTTGTTTATTTATTCATCCATTGATGGGCGTCTAGGCAGGTACAATATCTTGGTTACTGGGAAGAATGCAGCAGTAAAAGTAGAGTGTACTGAGATTTGACAAATGCATCCCAGAAGCCTCAATCCTAGAGAAGCTGTAGAAGACTTCTGCTACCCCTGGGAGTTCTTCACGATAACTCACAATTCTCCCTCAATCTCTTGGCAGCCATGGATTTAATGGCCATCATTTTAGGTTATTCATTTGTTCTGACACCTCACGTAAGACTTCATTCAATGCACATTCTCGTTTTGTGTTTGGTTTCTTAGACTCTTCACAGTTTTGAGATTCAACCATGTTGTTTGTATCACAGCACTCAGGAGGCGGAGGCAGGCAGATCTCTGTGAGTTCAGGGCCAGTCTGGTTTGCATAGAAAGTTCCAGGCCAGCTAGGGCTACACAGTGAGACTCTGTCTCAAAAAATATTAGTGAGACATACTTATTTTGGAGTAGGGAAGGCACAGAATTATAGTATTTGACTTATTATAGCTTGTGACTTCTCATGGCCATTTGCCTGGTAACTGGTGATGAGCACTGAGGCCAGTTCCTAATGGTGGAGAGTTTATAGCCAGCTCTGTCCTGAGCCAACAGCAGCAAGAAAAGAATCATTTCTTCCCCTCCCCTCCCCGGTCTCCCTCCTCTTTTCTTCTTGTCTCTCTTTTCTGTCGTTCTGTCCCTCCTTCCCTCCCTCCCCTTTCTTCTATCCCCCCTTCTTCCTTCTTTCCCTCTGCGTGTCCATTCACCTATCCACCTAATGTAGGTAAAGCATGTTTGAAAAAAAATCCCCAAAGAACAGGAGCAGGGCAAGACACATGATAGTAAGCCCAAGTCTCCTCCATTCCCATACCTCAGGCAACTCAGAGGCGACATCTTCCCTTTGAGGTATTGTATGCATATTCCAGCATGCACGTCTGTCCGTTGTCCTCTTTTCTAAATAACAGCATTTGTAACTTGAGTCTTATGGCGAAAGCTCCCGCTCTGAGAGTGCCGTTAGACCAGTCCTGGTCACCTGTCCCAACAAGCCAATCAGAGACAGGAAGTGGTGAGGGACAGAAAAGAGAGGTTTAATCAGCGTGGCTACTCTGGGAAGAAAAGTAACGAGGGCTGTGGCCCTGAGCTCTCTTCAAGGAGCTAGCAGGAACTTTGAGATTTCATAGAAAAGGCAAACACAAGAGGGGTTTGGGGTATAGTGACCGAGCAGGGAACCAGGCCAGGCTGGTGGCCTGGTGATCACGATAGCGCTGGCTCTGTAAGAGGTTCTAGAACTTTCCCTCTAGTTCCCAGGAGGTGATGACTCCTGCTCCAGGTGCAGCCTTGCAGCCTTGCTTTAAGAGTGGTTGCCGTAGGTCAGGGTGTGAGCTCCCCAGGTGAGCACAAGGCTTCCTAGGTTTCAGGATAGTTTCAGTTTCTTCTCATGAAGGTGTTTACTATCAGTCCTGTCTTTCCTGGAATCCAAGCAGGAGGGGTGACTCAGGAGGACCAGAGCTGAAAACGCAAACAAACAGAGCCAGAATAAACAGTGATGCCAGTGGCTGGTGCCCTTCGTTGAGTGTTACAGATACACTTTAAAACGTGACTCTCTTGAGCTGGGCATGGCGGTACATTCACTCAGGAGGCTGAGGCTGGAGGATCTCTGTGAGTTCCAGGTCAGCCAGGGCTACATAGTGAGACCCTGTCTCAATAAACAAACAAACAGAGTCGAATTTTTCACTTAACTCCTCCGTATATATCATCTTTTGTTTATTTTTCTGTATATACAACACATTTCACACATCTATGAGTATATTGATATATGAGTATATTGATATGCTGTTAGAAGATATGTACATGAAAAATTTAAATTTAATTTTATTACAAATTTTGATACCACAAATGATATAGTCACTAAATATGCAAACTGTGCAGCATAGCAGTGTCACAGTGGATACACATGGGTTTTACTTTTTAAAAAGACTTTAAAATTTTTATTGAATTTTTCCAAATTTCAAACAATATATTTTGACCATATTTAGACCTCTCCCCCATCTGCATCTCTTATAGCCTCCTGGCCAGATTTCATGTACTCTGTCATATATTTTAAGGTCTATAGAGCCAAATTTGTGTCCCCAAATGCCCTGCAGTGTTCATCCATCCACTGGAGCCTGGTTAACCTACCCAGCATCGCATCCCTAAAGAAAACCACCTCTCCCTCTCCCAGCAGCTTTCAGTTGCCAGCCGTTCCTCAGCTAGGGTTAGGCTTCTTCCCCACTTCCCCACTTCTGTGCTGGGATTTTGTCTTGCTTGAGCTTATGAGGACCTTGCGCATCCTGTCACCACTGCTGTAAGTTCATATAACCAACTGCCCAGTTATCTGGAAAACTCTGTTTCTTTGTGGTCATTCACCACCTCTAGCCCTTACAGTCTTTCCATTCACTCTTCTACAATGATCCCTGGCTTTGAGTGGCAGAGACTTCATACAGGAGTCCTATTCAGGGACAAGCACACTCTGCAATCTCTTATTTTCTGCGGTTTGGCCAGGTGACTCTCTGGGTTAATCACCATCTGCTGCATGAACTTCGCAGGTGAGAGCTGAGAGATGTATTGATATTCTTTCTTCTCCCTGTTCTGCAATGTTCCCTGAGCCCTAGGTGTAGAGGTTGCATTGTAGACGTGCCACCTGCGGCTGGGCACCTCACAGACACCTATTTTCTGCATTTGACCAGTGGTGGAACTTTGTAATAGTTGCCATCTATTGGAAAAAAAAAGTTTTTTTGATGAGTGTTGAGAGATACTAAAAGATTTATTTTTATTTTTAAAATATTTTATTTGTTTATTATTTTATGTGTATGATGAGTGTGTGAGTCTGCATGTATGTAAGTGCATTGTGTCTTGCAGTGTCCATGGAGATCAGAAGAGGGTGTTGGATTCTCTGGAACTGGAGTTACGGACAGTTGTTAGCTGCCATATGGGTACTGAGAATCAAACCTGGGTCCTCTGCAAGAACAGCCAGCGCTCTTAATTGCGGAACCATCTCTCCAGCACATTTTTTAAATTGAATTTTCACAATTTTCACACAATATATTTTGATCGTATTTGGGTTCCCGCCCCTATCTCCACCCCCTTTTACTACCCTCCTCCCAAGTTAATGTACTATACCAGACCTTATTTTTAATTATGTGTGTGCATTTGTGTTATGAGAAAGAGAACCACCAACATGTGCCAAGAGAGGGTTTGCGTGTGTGTGTGTGCACATGTGTGTGTGCATGTGTGTCTGTGTGTGTGCATGTGTGTCTGTGTGAGTGTGTGTCTGTGTCTGTGTGTGCGTGTACGTGTGCGTGTGTGTCTGTGTGTGTGTCTGTGTGTGCGTATGTGTCTGTGTGTGTGCGTGTGTGTCTGTGTGTGTGTGTCTGTGTGTGAGTCTGTGTGTGTGTCTGTGTGTGAGTGTGTGTGTGAATGTGTGTCTGTGTGTCTGTGTGTGCGTGTGTGTGCATGTGTGTCTGTGTGAGTGTGTGAGTGTGTCTGTGTGTGTCTGTGTGTGTGCATGTGTGTGTGTGTCTGTGTGTGTGCGTGTCTGTGTGTGTCTGTGTCTGTGTGTGTGTATGTGTCAGAATTTTGCTACTTACCTTTAATGGTCCTAAATGCTGTCTTCTCAGAGTTTGCTTGTGATAAATTCCCTTTAGGATATTTGTTTTAAACACACATTACCTGTAATTAAGTATATGTTGTTTTTTAGTTAAGGAACAAACTGCTTTAACAAATATTACTTATATAGCATAGTTAATAACATGAGTTTAGACTCATGAGTTTAGACTATGTCAAGAAAATACCAGAGAGACCCTTAAGAATCCTATTGCCGCTGGGTATGGTCACACACCTTTAATCCCAGCACTCGGGAGGCAGAGGCAGGAGGATCTCTGTGAGTTTGAGGTCAGCTGGGGCTACAAGGAGACCCTATCTCAAAAAGAC